TATTTTAAATAACCAGCAGGGTCACCCATGGTGGACAGGTTTCAGATGAGCTTCCAGACAAAGATAGACTAGAAAGAAACAGTGACGAGTTACTTCCAAATATTTAGTCACTGAAAACCTTATGAATAGCTGAGAAACACTGTCAGATACAGTGCCAGAAAATGAGCCCCTCAGGTTGGAAGACACTCAAAATGTGACTGAGGAAGCGATGCCTCCTCAAAGTAGAGTTGACCATGATGATGTGAATGGAGTTTAGCTCCTGGGAGAAAAAGCTTTTAGAGCTTCTGGTAAATGACCACAGGACACACCCCTCCACCATAAGCCTCAGCTTGAAGGCTCTCAGCTCTAGCTCTGTGGGTCAGCCCTTCTCCAACTAAATGCCAGAAATGCCCTGCTTTGCAAGAAAGCCTTCTGCCCAAAGTCACTCGGCTCACTTGCTAAGCCCACTGTTCTATCTTCTGCTGTGATTCTTCGTGCTGCTGCTGTTCAGCTGCTCTTCTGCCACTTCTTTATTGTCACAGCTTTCTGTCCCCGGGTTCAGGAGGTTCAGTGCTCAGGGAGCTCTGGGTCTAAAGCACATTCTACACACCTAGCTCTACGTCTTTAATGGTTGTGAGCACTTCCTCCTGCTTCTGACATGGCTCATTTTAAACCCAGCCGGATGGTACCATTGACCAATCCCCTCATAGATTTCCAAGTGTTTACAATCACAATCCTACTAACAATCACTCACAAGTATACCATATCATCCATCAGCTTCTTGCCTCGCCTGCTTACATCTAGATCTTTTGGGAGAAAGTTGTTTGGTGGCAGTTTAAAAAGACTATGGCATGAAGAGATATTAAATAATGCATTACACTACAAGGTATGAAAACCCAAATTTACCTAAAAATTAGTATTAGTAAGGTAACTGATGGGAGGTTTCATTATCGTCTTGTAAACAAAATGAATAAATAGGCTAGATACCATACAACCCAATCTTTTTGTATTTGGTTGAATTACCACTTTAATATGTGTTGATTAAGACACTCTTGGTTAATGTGCTAGACTGCAAAGTTGGTTTGAACCACAAGGCCAGTGGTTTAAGCTTACCACCTGCTCCTTGGAAACCCTATACAGGGTCGCTATGAGTTGACATCCACTCAATGGCACTTAACAACTATTATCTTAGGGGCTCTGGTACCATAGTGGTTATGAGCCGAGCTGTTGACCACAAGTCAGCAATTTGAAACTACCAGTTGGTTATCTGTTTCCATAAAGATGATCTAAACCAAAAGCCAAATTTATTGCCATCAAATTGGTTCCAACTCGGAAAGACCCTGTAGGCTAGAGTAGAACTGCCCCATGGGGTTTTCAAAGCTGCCATTTTTACAGAACCTGACAGCTACATCTTTAACCCTTGGAGATACTAGTGGGATGATCTTTGCTCTTACTATGTAGATAATGGGGAAAATTGAATCTTGTGATCCCTGACTTTAAGGTTATAGGTCCTATCAGGACTACATACTCTCTTATCAATCGAAGTCTGGATGCTTCTATTTCTTAGTAAACTATTACATGGAATGTGCTTTTCTGAATGCAAAGGAAGTATGTTTTTCTTCCTTCCATGTAACCTACACATTTTCCCAGATGCCATAGCATGAACAGAATATTGTGTAGACTTCAATGGTCCCACAGGTTTTAGCTGACATACCACTTTAGCTTCTGGTGAGAATTTAAGTAAGTCAGTTGACTTCTCTGATCTCAGTTCTTTTGTCTTAAAATGAAAATGCTAATTCCTTCTCCCTTCTTCCACTACCTCTTCCATTTACACCCCATTTTTTTTTTTTCAGGAAGAAGTCCAAGATGATGTGAAGACAATTAGTGAGAAACAAGACTCCCTGAACTAACATAAACCTATTGAATTGTTTCAACAAACTGATGCAGTGCTGGAAGCACTCACTAGTCTATGCCAAGAAACTTGGAAAATGGTTAGTTACCTGGTTAACAGATTAGAAGAGATTCATATGGGTGCCCATTGCAAAGAAAGGTAATCCAAAAGAATAAGGAAATTATCAAATAGTAATCATGAATATCACATGTAAGTAAACTTTTTCTGAAGAGAATTCAAGAATCATTGTAGCAGTATATCCGCTGCAATGGGAGCTGTCAGAAATTCAAACTGGGTACAGAAGAGGACACAGAACAAGTGAGATCAGTGCTGAAGTCAGACCAATCTTGGCTGAAAGCAGAGACTACCAGAAAGATACTTACTTGTGATTTATTGACTATGCAAAGACATTTGATTATGTGAAATGTCATAAACTATGGGCAACTTTGTGAAGACTGTGTACTCTAGAACACTTCATTATACTCATGAGGAACATGTACATGGCAGTCTTTCAAACAGAACAAGAGATAATTCGTGATTTCATATTAGAAAATGTGTATGGCAGGGTTGTATTTCACCATACTTATTCCGTCTGTGTGCTGAACAAATGCTCAGAGAAGGTGGACTGTATGAAGAACATGGCATCCGGATTAGAGGAAGACTCATTAACCTGCCATATGCAGATGATGCCACTTTGCTTCCTGAAAGCAAAGAGGATTTGAGGCATTTGCTGGTAAAGATGAACGAATACAGCCTTCAATATGAACTACAGCTCAATGTAAAGAAAATAAAAACCTCACAGTGGTTCAATGAGCATCATGACAAACAGAGAAAAGATTGAAGTTGTCAAGGATTTAACTTTACACAATCAATGCTCATAAAAGTAGCAGTTAAAAATGCGTTGTGGGACCTCTGGTCTCCACCAACGCCCGCCTGAACCTGTTCGCCTCGACTGACCAGAGTCTGCGAATCCTCCGCTGGGACCCGAACCGAACCGCCGCGATCCCAGCTTTCTATCCTTTTGAGAACACTGAGAATAGTGTGTCTGTATCAGTTTTTACGAGAACCAATCACCTGTCATGCCTGGAACAGGATCAAACCCATATTGCCCTTAGCCCCAATAATCACGAAGTCCACATCTATAAAAAGAATGGGAGCCAGTGGGTGAAAGCTCATGAACTCAAGGAACACAACGGACATATGACAGGTATTGACTGGGCCCCCAAGAGCGACCGCATCGTCACTTGTGGGCTGACCGCAACATGCATGTCTGGAGTCAAAAAGATGGTGTGTGGAAGCCCACCTTGGTGATCCTGAGAATTAACCCTGCGGCCACTTTTGTGAGGTGGTCACCACTGGAGAACAAATTTGCCTTGGGAAGTGGATTCCCAGTGATTATTTAAAACATTTTTGTTGTTGTTGTTGCTGTTCCATTCCATTCCTAACCAAGCTTCTCTTCAAGTCGTTTATGTTGGGAAATCGTCATTTATATTGGAAAATCGTCACACTGACGTAAAGCAGGGAAGGAAGGTGTGTGCAATGTCTACTAGACAGTTCAATAAATATACTGAACGTGGAAAAAAAATAATGCAATGTGTTTTCACTGCACAAATTTACTGTGAAAGATCACTTTAAAGTGTTAAAGAGCAAAGATGTCAGTATGAGGACTAAGTCATAGTGTTTTTAATCACTTCAAATGCATGCGAAAATTGGACAATGAATAAGGAAGACCTGAGATGAATTTATATTTTGAACTGTGATACTGGCAAATACTATTGAAAGTACGAGGGACACAGAAGAAGAAATAGCTCTGTCGGAGTAAGTACAGCCAGAATGCTCCTTTGAAGGGAGAATAGCCAAACTTCATTTCACTTAATTTGGAGATATTATCAGGAAAAACCAGCCCCTGGGAAAGGACATTACCCTGGGCAAAGTGGAGAGGCGTGAAAAAGAGGAAGCCCTTCCCATCCCAATGAGATAGATTCATACCGTGGCAACAATTGGCTCAAACACAGCAATTGTGAGGCTGCCATAGGACTGAGCAGTGTTTCCTTGTGTTATGTGTAGGGAGTCTACAAGTGACAATGGACGGATGGCACCTAGCTACAACAGCTTCTGATACAAAACCAACTATACCTTTATTGCATTTATAGCAGTTTATTTCTTTATATTCATTTTTATTAGTGTCTTACATGTCAACTGGTCTCAGAGGGCAGGAATTCTTTCTTTTTAGTTCCTGTTTTCCTCCTCTATCAGGTACAGAACCTGGCTACAGGTATATATATACTCGACCCATGTTTGTTACTTTAGCAGATGAACACATGATAATTGTCACAATTAGAGATAAAATTTACTAAATTACCAGTTATTACTAGATGCTTTAAAAGCGACACTGATTATTTCTCATGGTTCATTTTGATAGAAAATGTTTTTGCTCATATTTGATACAATTATATCTAAAACTGTCCCAGTCAAGAAAAATACAGTATAACAAGCTACTAGCCGAAGCAACTAGGCACATGGTGTATCTTAAAATTTTTTTTTTAAATTAACAGCTGAAAGACCCACGGTTATAAACAAGGAGCAAATAAAAACAATAGAAAAATTTGTATTTGTTAGTTTTGCTTGTGACCTGCAAATCCTAACCCAAATAGAGCATCTTCTTGAAAAGCACATGCTGAAATTGATTCTTTACCACTGTTCACTCTGACTGTCATGATTGTCCCCTTTTCATTTTGGTATTGATTTTATATCAGTTTGCTCAACTATTCTCTCATTAAATATTTCTGGGGCCTTAACTTGATGAAAGAAATGATTTTCTCAAATCAGTGAAAAGAATACTTTTTGATGTCAAAATAAACCATCTGCTTGCACAAGTGTTTCTAATTACTTTTCTGCCTAGACTCTCCACTGGACGGGTTTGGCACCAGCACCCCGCCCAGAGTGGTGCCGCTGCCCAAATCCTTGCAGGCAGCTCATCAAAGCACTTGCAGCTCTGAGCAGAGCTGTGAACCTGCAAGCCTGGTGTCAGCAAGTTTGTCTGCCTGGCTATCTACGAGGGACACCCTCCTTCCTACGGCCTGGCACCTCACAGAAGCACAGCTAGCCCTCCATGGACAGAGAATTCAGCATGTGTCCCTTGAGTTTCAGAAATTTCTTGCTCCTGGCGTCTTCCCTTTTCTTTACTGGGTTGTCAGCTGTTCCTCAAAGCTTTTCGCCATCTCTGAGGTAAGTTTGGTTTGGTACTTTTTATAAGACAGACCGGTCCAACACTTGCTGTGCCTGGTAGGGCTCAAACTTGCAGGCTGGCTGCTGCAAGCCTAAAGAAGTTACTAACTTGAATATGAGATAAAACCTTTTCAACCTGCTCCTATCTGTTTCCCTATATCTACAATGTGTGTTGCTTAACCTCTGTCCTTTTACTTTCTGTTCAGAAAAATATAATTACTGAATACATAAATATATAAAGTCTTTCTACACTAATACATGTCAGAATTTACTGCCTTGCATTGAAGGTAACTCTATTTATACTTATGGACTATGATGATGTTTTTATATGCTGTTGAGTTGGTTCCGACTCAGTGACTCAGTGTAGCATTTTCAAGCAGCAGCCGGTAAGTTTGAACCTCCCCTTGTGGTTGGCAGCCTGGTGCCTATCCTACAGTACCACTCAGGACCGGCTATGAACTATGGTGGTGGTTGTGTGCCGCTGATTCAGTTCTGACTCACAGTGACCCTGGAGAGGGTTTCTGAGGCTGTAAATGTTCATGAGAGCAGAAAGATTTATCATTTTTCCACAGAGTGGGTGGTAGATTCAAACTACTGACCTTGCAATTTGCAGCCCAGCTCTCAATCTACAGAGCTTCCAGAGCTCCTGGCAGTGAACTGTGAGACAGTATTACTTCTTCCCAACAGTGTCAAAATGAGTCTGTATTACATTTTGAAAGAGACTTTGAATTACTTCATAATAGCCAAACTTTTTCAAAGTCTCCTTTGTATGAACTTCTTAGTGAAAATTTGAAAACAAAATGCCCTATGCAACCATAATAAACATAGCTCTTTGCATATTCATCTCTTCTTTTTCCTAGTATAACTGGTTTCTGGACACAAGTAGCAATGTGATCTTTTTAAGAAGATCAGAAAGTATAAGTCTGCCAAGTGTCAGATTGTGATTTAACTTGAATTTAATTTAAGTGCACATCCTTAGAAACCCTATACAGGGTCACTCTGGTCCCCACTGACTAGAAGGCATTTAACAACAGCAGCAATAGGATGCGGTAATGCTGAATCACATGTGCCCACCTTTAAGGAAGTCTTATTTCCAGAAGGGTAGGTCACGACTTAAGGAATCCTGGTGGTGCATTGGTTAAGCACTGGATTTCTAACCAAAGGGCTGTAGGATCAAATCCACTTAGCGCTTCTGTGGGAGAAACACCTGACTACCTGGTCCTGCGGCATATTAAAACTAAATTTAACGCACTGCTGTGACATTTATCCTGACTCACAGCACCCTATAGGACATCGTACAACTGTCCCCAAAGGGTTCCCAAGGTTCTAAATCTTTACCGACACATACTGCCGCTTCTCTCTCCCACAGAACTGCTGGTAGGTTCCCCTGCTGACCTGTTAGCTTTTCAGCACTTAACCACTGTGCTACCAGCGCTCTTTCCAGTAAATGTTACAGCCAACTCACACAGGACTATGAATTGAAATCAACTTGATTTCAATTCAGTTCAACTTACCAATAGCAGGTCACTGCTTAGACATTATCTTCATAGTGATTTCTCAGGTGACACGTGTGAGTACCGTCTGGTACCTGGAAAAACAGCCCTTTCTAGAAGCATCTTGGCCCCCAGAGAAATGAGGAGACTCAGACTTTCTATCCCGGGTGTAACAAGGGGAGAGGGCGTGGCTTCAGAGCAGAGTGGGCGGTGTCCTATCCTTGTGGTCTAGCTATGGTGTTTGTCGCCCCCTGCAGAAGCTGGTCTGGTGCCCCCTGCAGGCTGTCGAGGGTAGAGTCAGAGCGCCACTGCAGGGCACCTGGGCAGCCCCCTGGGAGTGCTCTGTGCCATGGCCGGGGACGCTGTGACTGTGGAGTCTGCATCTGCCACGTGACTGAGCCAGGCATGTACTTCGGGCCTCTCTGTGAGTGCCAAGAATGGGTGTGCGAGACCTACGACGGGAAGACCTGTGCAGGTAAGGGACCGACACCTGGGCAGGTACACACCAGCACCTGTGGGAACAGGGTGAAACTCCTGCCCTCCCCCAGCTCCTCAGCTAGAAATCAGATTGGAAAGGAAGGGAATACTCCAAGGGCTTCCTTTTATAATTATTTTATGGTGTGGCACTGTAGGATAAGCACTAGACTACTAACCACAAGGTTGGCGGTTCTAACCCACTAGCCATTCCTCTGAAAACTTATACGGGGTCACTATGAGCCAGAACCGATTTGACGGCACTTAATAACAAGGGTCCAAATTTAAATGGCTAATATTTGAAGGATTCAGTCACTTAATTATTAATCTCACTTGCCTCTTGAAGTTCCCTATTACAGACTAAATTTTCCAGTTTCTTCACAAATTGGGATGGTTTTTCTGAACTCTCATACCCCAATCAAGAATATTAATCATACGATTTTCAGATAGTAGCTCATATTTATTTTTACCTAGGAACGACAGGGGAATATTAGTTTCACAAATTCCAGAGGAATGTGTCTTTGAATTCTGGTTTGCCTTCTCCTTAGGTTGTAGCTTAACAGATAGCAAGGCACATCAGGAGAAAATAAGCAGGCACATATTTACTTAGAGCTTTAAAGTTCTGAGCAGCAGTGAAGCTTGGTATTTTGTAAGGGGGGAGTGAAAAGAAATTCATTTCCCTTACACATTTTTTAAGGAATGATTTGAGCTCTATTGGAAAGGCTTACAGTATTTCTTCGTAGGGAACAACTCTGACCTCTTTACCAGTTTCATATAAACATGTCATTTACTTAAGGCCAAGAACCTCAATTAGGTTGTGCATGATGCAGAAACTCCATTAGTAAAAGGATAACACCAATATGTTCCAACCATGGTGCAGAAAATTTGTAGGAAAAAAATAGCAACTTTATTTTACCCACAGTGGAGCTAAGAATAAAACCTTTAACACTAACACAGAAAAGCAAAAAAATCAGTTTATAGCAAAAATGTTATTTTCTTGGCACCTGGGACACAGAGTCATATAGTGAGGATACTTTAATATGCAAGCTGTTTGACAGTGGAAAAAGAGTCATCGAAGGCATTTGAAGGAGCACTACTGCTTCTATGTGGCTTGTGTGCCCTGTGAAAACTTTAGCTCAATGTTTATAAAACCTGAGTGCCACAATTTGTTATTTTAAGTTAGTCTACCAAATTGCAGTATTATTATGTGTAGTCCTTTGGAATGAAAACTATGTATTGTGTAATAGTTCATTCCAGATGCAACTGTATCTGACTTCTCTGGGGTGTGATGCCTCTGGCAAGGCTTCTTCAATATCATGAGTTGTTAACACATTTTTTCTGGGTTTTACTGGTATTTGGAAAGCAATACTTCTATAAAAGAAACAAGCTATGAGTATTATCAGATAAATGTCCTTAGTGAAGAGCCTAAACTGGCTCCTTTCTCTTAAACTATGCTGAGGAGAAAGCTTCGGTATGCATTATTGCTGTATGCCATTGAGTTGATTCTGACTCTTAGCAACCCCACATGATAGAGTAGATCTACTTGGTAAGGATTCCTTGCTGTAATCTTTACAGAAGCAAATCTCTAGGTCTTTTCTCCCTTAAAGCAGTGGGGTGTTCGAACTGTTGATCTTTTGGTTAGCAGCCGAGTGTTGAAACAGAGCTCCTGCTATTTCTGGTGCATCATGCTGTATTTTTCCCTCCCTTTACTTGTAACATGCTAGTCACTGCAGTTCTTCCTCTCAGATACACAGGACACCACTGACTCACTCCTGGGGAGGTTTCATCTTGTGTGCATTTCTATAGAAGGTGAAATATTTCTCAGAGTTTCAAGACTGAATGGAATGATTGTGTTCACTTTCCCGTTGTCATCTCCCTGACTGCTGCCAGTTGGCCTCACTCTATAGCATTTTGTACATAACTCACCCCTGCAAATGCTCTGCCTGTGTTTGCCAGGCCAGTGAGCAGCTCTGGCACACACAGTGTATTGCACCACCTTGCCAGCCTGCCTGCTTGATTTCTGGTTTAAGTTTATCTTGTCAATTTTCCTTCCAGGAAATGGTTTCAATTTTATATCTATTAAATGTGAACATAGGAGACTGTCTATTTGTATGTGCGGGTCTGAAAATGCCTGGTGTTTAACCTATTGGATAAGACTCCATTGATTCCTCTCTGGATAAATTTCCAATGTCTCCACAAACCTCCATGAAGAAAACAAAATCTTGCTCTGGTTGTATATCATGGAATGGTGAAAAGTCTAGGATCTGTTGGAAAATTTTCAGGATTCAAATCCCTATCCCACACTTAAGAGATATATGAACTTCAGGACACTGATGTAAGCATACAGAACCTTTGTTTCTACATCTATAACATGGAAACAATAACAGTACAGAATTAGTGTGAGATTTTACATATGTAACACATTAGACTACAGCCTGGTACAAAGGAAGAGCTCAGAATGAATATAATAATATTATAGTAATGCCTAGAAAATTATGCATTCTGAATGGATGAATGGATGAATAAATTGACAGGTCATTAGATGAATAGATAGATAGCTTTATATTTGTTGGACATTTGATGTAGTAAATGAAGTTTAGATTTCCTAATGTACTCTGGGCCTATTATTGATTCAGGGCCCAAAAGGTTAAGCAAGGATAGTGATTTTGGCCAAACCTCAGAGCAGCTGTATTAGACACAGTATGCCTTTGAAAGTTAAGTCCAATAGAATTCTTTTGCTGTGAATCATAAGAAACATGCTTAATTTAGTTTGAACTTATTGGAAGTGATTAAGTTCAAAATATCAAAATTGTCTATTTCTTCCAGTGTCTACTTATTTCTGGCATGTGGTTCTTTATCAGACTTCGATAGCATAAAGGTTTAACACAATGATTGTTCCAGTGGGTGTGATGTTTAGTAAAGAGGAATCAAATTTGGGGGAAAGATGTCTGAGAATAACAGAATGTTCGATTGCATGAAAAAAATTTCAGTTGATATTTCAAGTAACTCCTGGGTCAACTCGTTGGATAGTTATGATTGCACTTAAATATGATGCTAGTCTTTAAAAAGATCTTTTCTTACCACTTTGAAATATATCACTTCAAAAAGTTTCTGTTTTAGTAATTGGGAAGAGTTCTTGAGTTAAACTGATAAAACATTTCTATTGCATGTTTGCTAGTGTCTCCATTTGATGTTGAAGCAGATAGAAAGGTAAGAAATGCGGAGCAGCTTACAATACAGTATTGAAGTTAAGAGAAATACCAAATATTTGTAATGAAATGTGGAATTTCATTTCCCCATACTTTGAAGCAAGGATTAAATGTTGGTGTTAATGTTCCTTAAGAAAGAAGTAGTCTTTGACATAAGTCCTTTAAAAAACAAAACAAAACAAAACAAAACTTTTTTATTTTGAATTGGATGAGGGTTTGCAAAAGCAAATCAGTTTCCATTCAACAATTCGTACACATTTTGTTTTGTCATCACTTTCCCCACTTCCTCCTTGTTTCCTGTTTCCATTCTTCCTTCTTACCTAACACTTATGAACTTTGTTCTTGGGCAGATTCTGCCCCTTTGATCTCATCTGGTTGATAGAAGAGTGCATGCCTTCCTAGTTGTACTCTTCCTTTCATAGACCTGTCTGTTGTTGGACCAAAAATTGAGCCACAGAGTTGAATTAATTTGCAGTTCTGAAAAGTGACTAAGGACCACAGTCTCAGCATCGGTGGTGGTGATGGTGGGATGTCCACCAGCCTCTATCTGTATAATAAGCATGGTCATTTTATAATTTTGAATTTTGTTTGTCATAGGTCTTTAAACGTATAGAAATACTTCCTAATTTAAAAAATAGACTGTTGTAATCCTTATCAAATCATAATGATTTCTTCATTTTAAATACATTGTGTAGACAGCATAAGAGACAATTATACACATGGACCTTAACAGATGGAATACATAGAAATCAAATTGACTACATCTGCAGAAAGAGATGATGGAAAAGCTCCATCTCATCAGTCAAAACAAGGCCAGGAGCAGAATTGTGGAATCGACCATCAATTAATTGTATGCAAATTCAACCTGAAGCTGAAAAAAAATGAAAACAAATCCACGAGAGCCAAAATATAACCTTGAATATATCCCACCTGAATTTAGAGATCATCTGAAGAACAGATTTGATACATTAAACACTAAAGACCAAGGGCCAAAAGAGATGAGGGGATGACATTAAGAACAACATAAATGAAGAAAGCAAAAAGTCATTAAGAAGACAAGAAAGAAGGAAAAGGTCAAAATGGATGTCAGAAGAGACACTGAAACTTGCTCTCCAGCATAGAGATGATAAAGCAAATGGAAGAAACGAGGAGGTCCAAGAGCTGAACAGAAAATTTCAAAGATCAGCTCCAGAAGGTAAAGCCAAATATTACAACAAAATGTGCAAAGATCTGGAATCAGAAAACCAAAAAGGAAGAACAAGCTGGGGACACTGAAGAAAAAATTCAAGCATCGACTTTCGTTATTGAAAGATTCTCTGGGAAAATTATTGAATGATGCAGAAAGCATCAAGAGAAGATGGAAGGAATAGACAGAGTCATTGTATCAAAAGGAAATGGTTAATGATCAGCCGTTTCAAGAGGTAGCATATGAACAAGAGCCAATGATACTGAAGGAGGAAGTCCAAGGAGCACTGAAGGAATTGGCATAGAAAAAGGCACCAGGAATTGATGGAATAAAAATTGAAATCTTTCAAGAAAGTGAGTTGGCACAGGAGGCACTCATTCATCTCTGCCAAGAAATTTGGAAGACAACT